CACACACACACACTCACTCCCGGGTTAGCTGGAGGAATACGGTAGAGGGCCAGTGCTGTCAAAGAAGGCAATGGGGGCTAAGGCGCCAAAGCCCACTGAACATGAACAGAGCCATCAACTGGGCTGTGCTGCCCCATTCATTCACTCATGCACTCATTCGTTTAGCAAATATTTCTTAAGCGCCTTACTTTGCTGGGCACAGTGGAAGGCTACTAAAGACTCATGATGCGCAAGCTACTTTTGGGGACTGAGATTTTGCTGCTGTGGGCTGGCTTTCATGAAAGAACTGGGATGAGAGTGGGATTTTGAAAGGCTAGTACAATTTGTAAGGACAAGGAGAGCAGCTAAGGATATTCATTGTAACATTGTTCGCAATAGCCAAAAATTGGAAACAACCTAAATGCCCACCCATAGAGGAATGGATGGATAATGTATCGTATATTTAGAAAAAAAATACACAGCAATTGAAAGATTAGATTCATATACGTCAATAGGAATACATTTTAAAAATAAAATGATAGTGAAAAAAATTAATTGCACAAGGAGATATAAAGTATGCCATTTATGGCTATTTATATTTTTTCAAAGCAATACCATATATTATTTATGAATGCATACCACACAGTATATACAAAAATAATATAACCAGAATAGTAGTTACTTCCAGGGCAGGAGAGTGAGGGATGTGATCAGGTATGGGTACAAGTGGGCTTGTTTTTTGTAAGAAAAAAGCTGAAACAAACAAACAAACAAACAAAAGTTTGTGTGGGCACAGTATTCCAGAGGACAGCCACCATGAAAGCAAGGGTACAGATAAGGGAAGAAGTAGATGGGTTCTGGTACTATTCGCAGTGACAGGAGTCATAGAGGGAAAGGGGGTCGGGCCCAGGACCTTGAATGACAAGCTGAAAAGGAGGGAAGGGTGGGTAGGAAGGGGGGATAGTTATCTCTCAGGTCATAGAAAAACCATTGAAGGTTTTTGAACAGGAGTGAGACTTGATGGAAAGGAAGGTTGCTCTGATAATCCTGTGCAAAATTGTCAGGAGCAAAAGGTGAACTGGAGTCCAAGGGCCAGTGAGGAGTTTGTGAAACAGTCCAGGCGGGCATGGGTGATGAAGGCTTGAACTAATGAGACAGCTGTCAAAATGGAAAGGAAGGGATGGATATGAGAGAAACTTGGGGGAGGGGCAACTTGATGTGACTAATTGGAGGTGGAGGTTTCTGATCCTGTCCGGAAGGAAAAGCCTACCCACAGAGCCTCTCCCTGGCTCCTAGAGAATAAAGTCCAAACTTCTAAAAATGGTCAATACAAGGCCTTTACTTCATTTGGGCCGCCTCTCTTGTCCTCTCTGCCCCATTGTGAACTTTACACAATAAGAGTATTGAACGAGTTGAGATTCCCCCAAACATATCTTCTTGTTTCCGTTTCTGTACCTTCTGTTCCCTTGACTTGGAATGACTCTTGGAGTCCCCTTCCCTCCTCCTCTTGGTGAACTTTCTAATCATTCACTCTTCAGTCCCGAGAGGGCTTTGCCGACACTGTAACGAATTCCTGCCCCTCACAGACAGTCCCTCCACTGTACTGCTTCTTTATCTGACATTGATATCGATTTTTCACACAGGACTGTCTGTAGTCCTATCTTTTCCACTAGACTAGGAGGTCCTTACGGGCAAGGCCCATGGCCTTATTCATTCCCAGCGTCTATCACATAATCGAGGTTGAACTAAAATGTTAAAACGGCACAAAACAAGTACAAGGCAGTATGATCATTGGCCTATGAACTTCCAAACCGCATTTCCATAAGCACTTTATAATAGATAAACAAGTGCTAGGATTGAAAGTAATCACCTTGGGATGCTAGAAGCTCTTTTCAAAAATAACATAGTCAAATTGTTTTGGAATTTCCCTTGTGCAAATATGTTCAGAGAAAGATAATAACATGACATTTTAGTGGCTGACTGATAGCTACCAGCTTGATGGTTCTCTTTACTCACTAAATATAGTTCGTAGTGACGTGGCTGTATATGAGTTTTAAAAACCACCTTCAAGGATTAAATTTGTCTCTCTGAAAATATTCAGAAGAATGTAAATGTAATCATCCCCAAAGAGCAGCCGCAGAAATGACTGCAGTTATGACATTATTATGACAATAGGTGCTTAATTTCTCAAGGTGTCCATTTTAAGGAAAGCGATTATTATGTTACATGTAACTTTTGTTGGATTAGTTATAATGTTAAACGTATTGCATACATTCCCATGAGGACAAGAAGAGTAAAGAGCAAATGTTATGAATGTAAGTAGGAGAAGGCTATGACTGAGGAGATGTTTTTAAAAACATGTTTTGAAGGAAGCTATGGATATAAATTGGTAAAAAAAAAAAAAAGAAAAGAAAAGAAAACAAACAAAGCGGGGGGGCTGGAAATCAAGGGAAGAAATTGGAATTGGCAAAGGCAGAGAGATGAGAACCAGTAAATCAACTAACATTTGGATGAATATTTACTATGGGCCAGATCTGGTATAAGGACTAGAGGACTAAAGAAAAAGAGATGAGTGACCAACAATTAAGATCCAGTGTGACAGTTGAGGGACTGAGAGTCCTGTCCCAGCCTAGGGGCAATCAGGGAAGGCTTCCAGGAAGACCTCAACAGGACAAAGAATTGGAGGATCCAAAGATTAATCAGGTAACGAAGAAGAGGAGACTTCTCACGTTTAGCTGTCTAAATTCTTCCAGGCACATTCTGGGGTCCATGTCCAGCCTACGTTGAGCGGGCTACTCCACACATCTCAGCACCTAACCCAGGAACCCGGGGAATATGTGATGAGTGTTTGCGGAAACAGGAATTAAACGAAAGGCTTCTTTGCAACAAGTACAGAGGCAGGTGAACAATAGAGACCAGAGCTTGGTCCCTAACATGGGAAGGAAAGGCCTTAGGCAGGGGGCTGTGGGAATGCAGAAAAGTCAGGCATTGGCTCCTAAGATTAGTACCTGCTTAGATGAGAGAGGAAAGGTTGATGGAGGCATCAGCCATGACCTCAGTATGCTGAGGCAGGATGACCTACTCTGGGATATAGAAAACACAGAAGGAAAAGGAGGTTTGGTAGATTAAATAAGCAGGCAAGATAAGAGATCAGCATAGCTGGAGGGGGGAAACTGTTCCTATGTAGCAGCAACGGCTGTTGGCTGCTTTCGGAAGAGCTGGGAGTAGCCGGACTGATGTAAAGCATGGAATTGCATTGAAATAGGCTTTCTACTACTGACCTCTCCCGAAAGCTAAGCCTACGTTCCGCTGTGTGCGTTTAGATGACTGTTTCCCTGACGTCTATCACAAGCCAGGGGGGCTCGCGGTGCGGTCTCTAGGACATGACATGTCAGGATGTGCCCGGAGATGTCAGCCCCAAACGTACTCAGCAGTTTCATTGCTCAACTGGATTGCGGAATGGTTTTCCCCAAGGACACTGCTTCTAGTCAAAGCAAATTCTACTTTGTAGGAGAAATTGGCAGGAAAACATGCAGGGGATCCTATAAGTCATCACAGCTATTCCTCTTCCTGCAAGTTCTATAGCTTCGCTGATACAAAGAAAAATGGGACCCCACAAACAGTCATCTGGAAAAAAAATATTTTTCTCAATCTCCAAGCTCACATTAAAATCTACAGACTATTAGTAATGGAAAAATGTGAATAAGGGCCACCCCTAGTTTTCGTTTTAGTCTAAATTTAAAATGTACATATATGTCTTTACTAATTAAAATTCACATATAAAGTTGCCTCCCCCGAACAAATGCGGAATTGGCACTTTAATGTGTTCTCGTGTCTGTTCTCTCAGACCCAATAAGCTATAAAATCCCTCAAGGGCAGAGATCCTGTGTTATTTGTCTATTATGCCTCAGTTCTTAGCACATTCATTAGCGCACATATGTGCGCAATAATGTATGTTTTAAATAAATGTTGAATTAGAGGCATATATAGCTGTATAAATTGGAGAGAGCAACAGAACTTCTAGGTGTGCTGGTACATCCCAGGATGCATCAGTTACACACTATAGATGCTGCGCAACAGATTCCGGGGTCCATATCCAGCCTAGGTTGAGCTACTCCACACTTCTCAGCACCTAACCCAGGAACCTGGGGGTATGTGATGAAGTGTTTGCAGAAACAGGAATTAAAAAGAAAGGGTTCTTTGCAAAATAATGCCTTCCATTTGTGCAGGGTTTTAGGCTTTCCAAAAAAAAAACACTTTTAAGTAGATTATCTCATGTGATTCTCAAAGCAATTGTGGGAAATAGCCAAGCCAGTCATTATTATCCCCATTTCACAGATGAG